GTACCTCAACCTGTATGGTACCTCAGCCTGCATGGTACCTCAATCTGCATGGTATCTCAGTCTGCAGGGTACCTCAACCTGCATGGTACCTCAGTCTGCAGGGTACCTCAGCCTGCATGGTACCTGAACCTGCATGGTACCTGAACCTGCATGGTACCTCAGCCTGCATTGTACCTCATTCTGCAGGGTACCTCAGTCTGCAGGGTACCTCAACCTACATGGTACCTCAACCTGTATGGTACCTCAGCCTGCATGGTACCCCAACATGCATGGTACCCCAACATGCATGGTATCTCAACCTGCATGGTATCTCAGTCTGCATGGTACCTCAACCTGCATGGTACCTACAATGCTTAATCTACAGGTCTAAAGGTAAGAAGACATTAACATTTTAAACAGGATCAAGTTTCTAGATGTTGGCTGGATTGTCAGTCGGTTGTGCGACACCAATCTGTCTCATATGAACATGTCACCATTATTAACTCCCCTCACGCCTTCAAGCACTTAATACACGACCCGCATCCACAGTAACACGCAATGGGCTCGTTGCAAGCCACGAAACTTTTTGAGAAAGCAAATTAATCGCTCATACAGGGGTCGGAAGCGCTTGCCCAATCTTCCAAAATGGCGGCGCAACTACCGCTTGGTTGCCTTGACGTAATGAAGAACGTATTTGAAGAGGCTCGATGACGAGCTGATGAAATTTATGACTATTTTGAAGATGTGGACGGACTGAGAAAGATGGGGTGTTAGCTGCCTTTGCTCATTTCCACGTTAATCTAGTCAAGAATTTTTTGTTCCGCTGTCAAAGTCAGCCGCCATTTTGATTTGAGAACGAAGCGACCTCAGCCAGCGACTGATTCTCTTGCAAGCGGCTGAAAGATAGCGCACTGTTGTCAGGCGGGTCGCTGTACATCGCCTGCAAGCGATTCGCGCTTTGCAACGCACTCAATGTCTTTATGGAATCAAACTTCAATCTTTAATTGTTAGATGAGTAGACACATTCGGTGCCTGGAGGATCACTCAGACTAATTTGCATATAAACCCAGGTCCACTCTACGCGTTAATCAACGTGACGTTGGCACACACAGCTTTGTCCGTATTATTATGCTGCTTAACACAATTAACGCGGGTCCCCATCCGTAGGATCTGTGATGTACAGCCATCAGTGTCAGAATGATGCATGACAGGCGCTGAAACCGACACAACCACAGCCCAAAGACATATATTCTGTGTAGCGCTTATATACTCCCTCCTTAATTTAAGACAAATTACGCATGAAAAAATAAACAGCATCGGAAAATCTTGTACTGTTGTTTTGTAAGGAAAGTAAGGTTTTGTCATGAGATGTATTTAAGTATGCGTCATGACGTAAACTACGGCGCCGCATTTCGCTGTGTAGAGTAGCGTCCCTTAGCCATGCCAGGACTAGCAGATCGTGGGTTCGATTCCAACACTCGCCCGATGGTCTGCTCGCACCATAGCACTACTCATAGTCTTGAGATGCTACAGCTGACATCGTGTCAAAAGCGGCGTGCAATTCACTGTGCAGAGTTGCGTCCCTTGGGCACGCGAGAATGAGTGTAGGTCGATTACCTGTTCGTCCGTATTATGTTTGTATAGGTTTGTCAGCACCATACCTCTGCTCGTGGGTTTAACCAAAGTGGCAAACGCCTGAGTCCTTATATAACTGGAAGACTGTTAAAAGCGGCGTTAAACGCTTCAGCAGCCCGTGATTGCCGTAGAAGGCGACTATGTTTGTCATTATAGGCGATTAGTGAGTGAGTGAGTATGGTTTTACGCCGCTTTTAGCAATATTCCAGCAATATCACGGCGAGGGTCACCAGAAATGGGCTTCACACATTGTACCCATGTCGGGAATCGAACCCGGGTCTTCGGCGTGACGAGCGAACGCTTTAACCACTAGGCTACCCGACCGCCCTTATAGGCGATTAACGGGATCGGGTGGTCCATGCATGTCATTGTATCCAAATTGCGTGGATCGATGCTCATGATGTTAAACACTATGTTGGCTGGTCCAGACTCGATTATTTACAGACTATGTAGCTGGAATATTGCTGAGTGCGGCGTAAAACAAGAAACATATCAAAGCGGCGTAAACACACACTCACTCACTCGCAAATTCGCTGTTCCTGGAAGACTGTACCAAAGGGTATTTTTAGGGAGTGTACCCTAACCAAGCTACTCTCGAATCCTAAAACAAATTTCATATTGCTATTGAAACAAACTGTGATTTCTACCAAACGAAATCGGCATTGCTGTTCTGATTTGTTTTGTAAAACGCATTATCCTTATATGGGACTGTTATATGGCAGTGTATTTTGTTGTTGAACAGTGATTGTAACTGTGTTATAGTATTTCTGTTCAGATTCAGTTTGGGCAGTGATCAGTTGTCAGGAAGTTACTTTATTTAGATGCTTGTATGGTGTGTAAACTTCCGGTTCGGACCATATAATGAGACAAGAGCGTGTTTACGTATCTCTCTCGCATTTCATCGCTTTGGAACCAGCTTTCAAGTGAGGATCGCTCATCATCTCTGATCCCTGTCTAGCCCATCTCGGAAGCTTGACCACTGTCTCCACTGGGTAAATATATCACCACTGTATTTTTGTATTTGATACTGACCACTGCCATCACTATTTATTGCCATTTAATAGTGTACTACCACTCTATTGTGTACTGGCATCACTATTTATTGCCATTTAATAGTGTACTACCACTCTATTGTGTACTGTCATCACTATTTATTGCCATTTAATAGTGTACTACCACTCTATTGTGTACTGGCATCACTATTTATTGCCATTTAATAGTGTACTACCACTCTATTGTGTACTGGCATCACTATTTATTGCCATTTAATATTGTACTACCACTCTATTGTGTACTGGCATCACTATTTATTGCCATTGAATATTGTACTACCACTCTATTGTGTACTGGCATCACTATTTATTGCCATTGAATATTGTACTACCACTCTATTGTGTACTGGCATTGTAAGTGCTGTGCAGTACTTTGTATTGATTTGTAAACCTAGTTAATTTTGTAATACATTTGTTGATTGTATACCACTTGTTGGTTTCACACTTGGTTCTTTTACGTACAGATTTATGGGTTAACATATTGTTTCAATTTAGGAATCGACACGTAAAAGTTCAGTTTCAGATATAGTATAATGTGTCAAATTAGTCGTATGAGCAGATTCGCCTTCAACCATGACTAAGGGTGTCAAACGTTTGTAGGGTAAGCTCTGTCATAAATCATGGATTATCTGCAGTAACAGATTGATGCGCTGTGTCAAGCATTGCGGAAATCGGTTGCTTTTGATATGATGTGTGTCAATTTCAGCTACAAACTGTGACCTAAACCCAAAAGTCAAATAAGTTTATTCATGTTTTTTTGTAGATCTATAAATAGTTCAATAAAATGTCCGTAGAGGGTACTTCATCTTTACTGGGGTACAGTAAATATTTTTCAAAAGATATCTCTATCATAATTTGAGTAGTCTTAATGTACAAGAAGATTTCTTTATCACGGTATATTATCCTTATTGAAATACAAATCCATCAAATATTCGAACCTTTAGGAGAACATCATAAAGTAATTAATTATGTGTCATATGAACAATCAATTGTTCCTACAAAACCTGTCACAATGTTCTTTTTTACATCAATCACGCACGGGATTTGTCGAGCAAGGTCCCCTTTTATGAAATAAAACTTTCAAAATGGGATAAATGTTTTTAATTTACTGCTTTTGTTGAAGAAAACGTGGATTACGTAGATAGTGTTAACGTCACATCATTTGTCTGGCTTGGTGACTTGTGATTGGCAGGATTGAACATAACCATCTCGTCGCGTTGGATGCGAGTTGCTGTGAAATGCAGTATATCACTTGTAGAGTCACTGTCACTGGGGGCGATTTAAAGAAGGTGTGGGGAGGGGGCATTGAATTTCGTATGGAAACTAGATATTTTTTCAGCTATACCCGCAGAACCAGATCTGTTTTTACTTTTAACCTAATCTTGCAACAATATGGCTGACAAATTCTTTTTGTTAAACCTGATCTTCACATAATCATTTGTTTATATGTTTCAAACATTTTCTGTGACAATTTATATTTTTGGATAAAATGCCAGACTTGATATATTTTCCGCTATACAAGCAAAACCAGATGTTTTTTCATAACTGAAACTTGTAACAGTGTATTATTGTCCCTAAGTGTCATTTGAGCAAGTATTTTGTTGATCCAATTTTCTTGTGTTGCACACCCAGTAGGACCACGGGGAACTGGGAGCAGGGCTTGTTCTCACTCTGTCGGCAGGTATTGTTCGGAACTATATTTCACCAGACCGAGAACAATAGGTATCAAACTCCAGGCAATGGGTATTAAGACTATAGTGGATCAGGACTAGACTCACACCAGTCCCCCGGAAGAGTGAACACGTTTGCCTTGACATAAATCACATGCAAATATATAAATGAATAAGGTATAAAATGAAAACATTATGAGCACAATTTTATTAATTTTATTAATTTCACAAAATGAATAATGCACAATACTTTCAGTGTTCGGACTTCACATTACAACCCGACAAGGTGGGAAACAGCATCATTATTTTGAATCCTTTGTGGGAGGCGAGACAATCCAGTGATTGACATCATGACCATCGATCCACGCAATTGGGATAGATGACATGCATAAAGCAAGAGAGCGAGACTGACCACCCGATCCCGGTAGTCGCCTTTTTCGATAAGCATAGTCGCCTTTTACGACAAGCATGGGTTGCTGAAGACCTATTCTACCCTGGATCTTCAGGGGTCGTTTGGGTAAGTAATGGTGTGTAGCAATACAGTCTTTACTGCAACCTCAGAACCTCACTGGATGAAGGATGGCATTGCAGGGCTCCTCTGTGTCACCAGTCCTCTGTGTCACCAGTCCTCTGTGTCGCCAGTCCTCTGTGTCACCAGTCCTCTATGTCACCAGTCCTCTATGTCACCAGTCCTCTGTGTCACCAGTCCTCTATGTCACCAGTCCTCTATGTCACCAGTCCTCTGTGTCACCAGTCCTCTGTGTCACCAGTCCTCTATGTCACCAGTCCTCTCTGTCACCAGTCCTCTGTGTCACCAGTCCTCTATGTCACCAGTCCTCTATGTCACCAGTCCTCTGTGTCACCAGTCCTCTGTGTCACCAGTCCTCTATGTCACCAGTCCTCTGTGTCACCAGTCCTCTCTGGCACCAGTCCTCTATGTCACCAGTCCTCTGTGTCACCAGTCCTCTGTGTCACCAGTCCTCTATGTCACCAGTCCTCTGTGTCACCAGTCCTCTCTGGCACCAGTCCTCTATGTCACCAGTCCTCTGTGTCACCAGTCTTCTGTGTCACCAGTCCTCTATATCACCAGTCCTCTGTGTCACCAGTCCTCTGTGTCACCAGTCCTCTATGTCACCAGTCCTCTGTGTCACCAGTCCTCTGTGTCACCAGTCCTCTGTGTCACCAGTCCTCTATGTCACCAGTCCTCTATGTCACCAGTCCTCTGTGTCACCAGTCCTCTATGTCACCAGTCCTCTATGTCACCAGTCCTCTGTGTCACCAGTCCTCTATGTCACCAGTCCTCTATGTCACCAGTCCTCTGTGTCACCAGTCCTCTGTGTCACCAGTCCTCTATGTCACCAGTCCTCTGTGTCACCAGTCCTCTCTGGCACCAGTCCTCTATGTCACCAGTCCTCTGTGTCACCAGTCCTCTGTGTCACCAGTCTTCTGTGTCACCAGTCCTCTATATCACCAGTCCTCTGTGTCACCAGTCCTCTATGTCACCAGTCCTCTGTGTCACCAGTCCTCTATGTCACCAGTCCTCTGTGTCACCAGTCCTCTGTGTCACCAGTCCTCTATGTCACCAGTCCTCTGTGTCACCAGTCCTCTATGTCACCAGTCCTCTGTGTCACCAGTTCTCTGTGTCACCAGTCCTCTGTGTCACCAGTCCTCTGTGTCACCAGTCTTCTGTGTCACCAGTCCTCTATATCACCAGTCCTCTGTGTCACCAGTCCTCTGTGTCACCAGTCCTCTATGTCACCAGTCCTCTGTGTCACCAGTCCTCTATGTCACCAGTCCTCTGTGTCACCAGTCCTCTATGTCTGCCCACGGGGCGGTCGGGTAGCCTAGTGGTTAAAGCGTTCGCTCGTCACGCCGAAGATCCGGGTTCGATTCCCGACATGGGTACAATGTGTGAAGCCCATTTCTGGTGTCCCCCGCCGTGATATTGCTGGAATATTGCTAAAAGCGGCGCAAAACCATACTCACTCACTCACTCACTCACTTACTCACTCACTCACTCTGCCCACACGATCCTGTTACTGGGCCATATATTTAGGCATATTCACCTGTTATGTGGGACTTCGTTGGCGAAGAGGTAACCCTCAGATGACCCCTTCATTCGGCGATCAAACCCTAAACAATTACTTATATGATTTAGTATCGGAAATAAAAACATACTACTCAAAAGAAGTTAGGGATAGCCCTATTCTTTCATATTGCAATGGTTGACATGTCATGGCGTGCCATGTCATGTCCGATTCTTTCATATTACTATAATTAATCTGTCGTGGCGTGACAGACTAACTATAGTGATATGAAAGAATCCGCTGTTCTTGAACTGTTTTGAGTAGTATGTTATGTTGTCTTATACAAAGGACCTGAGAAAATATTTTCATTTTCATAAATTGGAGGAATCTAGACTTACCTTTGAAATCCCACTGACCCTCAAGCTAAAATAATGTTGTGAATGTTGAATGATTATGTTGCGAATGGGACTTCTCCCAGGAAGCGCTGCCTAGTCAACCATCAACAAAATCAACATTGACATTGAGATTGTGTCCCACATCTTTGGCTCGTTAAAGGACACAGTGGAATGCCTTGTTTTCAACTTGAGTCTTGCCATGCTTCTCAAGAGGATCATCAGACAAATCACGAAGAGTCTCCACGTTAATCAAACCACGCCCTCCCATTATGATTGATAAATATAAGCGAATATGTGTTAAGTGAAAATTATCTGCTTAGAATTAGGATATAAACACACTGTGTGTACAATGTAGATTTAACCGCGCTAAATTGAATTTGGAACCGAACGCGCAGCGTGAGGTTTCAAATGTTACATTTAGCGCGGTGAAATCTACAGGTAACCTAGCTCTACATTGAAAACACAGTATGTTTATCTCCATTCTACCATGACTAAATAAAACGCAAACTCTTTGGTGACAGCAAATATACTGAGTGAAGCGGCATGGGTTGAGTCCAGTGTTTTGAATGGGTTGTCGATCTAAATCACGGAATCACCGACAACAGCCTGTTAACAAAATAGGGCGGTGTATATGCTCAAGCAGTTTGTTTACAACACGCGACCATATGACAGGCATTGAAAGCATATAAGCAGGCCAACTTAGTAAGCTAACATGAGGTAGACATGCCTAAAGAAAACTAAGCAAGCTTTGCAAGACTTTCGTTCTACACATCACGTCACCATTGTGACGTCATATCGCTCACTGTGAAATCATAGGACGATTATGATTTCCTAATTACATGCTGATATTTAGTGGACTTCTGTCTGCATGATTCGCTGGGGTCATGAAAACACTGACTTTGATATTTCGTCGTGAGCCTGTGCAGGTGATGTAATGCCCCGTGGCACCCCGTGCTATTCTATTCTCTAAGAACCATGATAAGTTGCCCAGTCTGGCTCCACCGATTTTAATCTGCTGTCAGATCATCTTTAGTGTTTTTTTTAAAGATTATCGTTTGTCGCTACTGTGTGCCGAGACCTGTTTTAAGTCAGGACCCTACCCCAATTACCCGTTTGAGGCTAATCATATCCTATTGTAATTATTTGGTTATAGACTGTGTGTCCGTTTTCATACTCGTATCCTTGTTCACTCTTATAGCAACTATGTTGCTTTGTGACGAACTGTGTATATTTTTTTATTAATATAATCTCTCGTGATTCCTTCCCTAGATTGGTTTCATTGGCACTGTACGCTAGTCAGCGTACTCGCTTTGAATGAGCAAACACAGTAGGCTTCTTACATTGTGGTTGAAAGTGGCAAAACGTGAAAATGACTGCGAAATTGAATTTAAAAGGTGTGTAATTTCTGTTGCTTCGATAGAGTGTTAAGTAAGAATGCACATAACCCGGCTTACAATTTGTGTTAAGATTTGGTTGGGTGGTTTGTTGTTTAACGCCGCACTCAGCAATATTCCAGCTATATGACGGCGGTCTGTAAATAATCGAGCCTAGACCAGACAATCCAGTGATTGACATCATGAGCATCGATCCACGCAATTGGGATCGATGACCTGCATCAACCAAGTCAGCGAGCCTGACCACCCGATCCCGTGACAAGCATAGTCACCTTTTACGGCAAGCATGGGTTGCTGAAGACCTATTCTACCCCGGATAAGAGGCGACTAAAGGGATCGGGTGGTCAGGCCCGCTGACTTTGTTGATGCATGTCATCGATTCCAATTGCGTGAATCGATGCTCATGATGTCAATCACTGGACTGTCCGGTCTAGACTCGATTATTTACAGACCGCCGTCATATAGCTGGAATATTGCTGAGTGCGGCGTTAAACAACAAACAAACCAGCAAATAAAATGAATGCGCATACTTTCTTACATGAGCACACTGTCACAAGCAGATAAAGGCTTCACAAAGGTGCTAATGTTACCACACACACACACACACACACACACACACACACACACACACACACACACACACACACGTAAAGGACGTACTCGTTGTTCTTACAGACCCTGATACAAATATATATCAAATACAGCCCATGCAAGTCTATAATGTTTGGCAAGTCTAGATTACTGCAGTGTTGTCATGTACATGTTCATAACAATATTACTGTAACGAAATGAACATATGACTACAGCAATTAAATGTTTGTGAATGCCAGTGATGGGTGATAGGGTCCTTTACACGTGTCGTAAAATTCCAAGAAATTATAGCTCTGTCACTGGGCTCCCTTTTATTGTATTTTTATAAAGATAACTGAACAACTGTTTTTTCTGTACGATATGCTCATTTCAGAGACTAGATGTTAGTCTATCGTTGTTCTTATCAACGCATTTATTTTCGTCGGAAACCTTGTCCCAGACTGTACAGACCCTTTCACACCGCTTAAACCAGAGGACCAAATGCGTCAACTCTGGACAGTAGCTGTCTCTCAAATCTTACATTTCTCCATCATGAAGAGGAAGTCCGCTGACAAATGATATATTAGCACATTGTGGGTTTCTGGGCTGCTAGTTCACATAATTTCACTGTTATCTTACACTGCCTTGTTTATGTCGGCCTTGCCTGGCCTGGCCTGTATGGTGCTGTCAGGTGAAGGCCTGTACGCCATGTCGGGCGTCCGTTGTCTTGAAGTGTTCCGTCTGCTTTTCGTTTGCATGGCAGTGATCGTTCCGTCGTTCGGTCTTTCTGGGAGTGTTTTATCCTTTATATATTGTCTGGAAGTGTTCCGTCTGCTTTTCGTTTCCATGGCAGTGATCCGTCCGTCTTTCTTTCATTCTGGGAGTTTTTTATCCGATAGACTTCCGTTCCGTCTCTCTGACAGTGTGCTATCGGAAAGAGTTCTGTATCTTTTGTTTATCAGCTTTCTATCGGACGGTATTCTGTTTGTCAGCGTTTTGGCTGGTGTTGTTCTGTTTGTCAGTGTTCTCCCGGGTGGTGTTCTGTTTGTCAGCGTTCTGGCTGGTGTTGTTCTGTTTGTCAGCGTTCTGGCTGGTGGTGTTCTGTTTGTCAGTGTTCTCCCGGGTGGTGTGCTGTTTGTCAGTGTTCTGGCTGGTGTTGTTCTGTTTGTCAGCGTTCTCCCGGACGGTATTCTGTTTGTCAGTGTTCTCCCGGGTTATGTTCTGTTTTTCAGCGTTCTGGCTGGTGGTGTTCTGTTTGTCAGCGTTCTGGCTGGTGGTGTTCTGTTTGTCAGTGTTCTCCCGGTTTATGTTCTGTTTGTCAGCGTTCTGGTTGGTGGTGTTCTGTTTGTCAGCGTTCTGGCTGGTGTTGTTCTGCTTGTCAGCGTTCTGGCTGGTGTTGTTCTGCTTGTCAGCGTTCTGGCTGGTGTTGTTCTGTTTGTCAGTGTTCTGGCTAGTGGTGTTCTGTTTGTCAGTGTTCTGGCTGGTGTTGTTCTGTTTGTCAGCGTTCTGGCTAGTGTTGTTCTGTTTGTCAGTGTTCTCCCGGGTGATGTTCTGTTTGTCAGTGTTCTCCCGGGTGTTGTTCTGTTTGTCAGCGTTCTGGCTGGTGGTGTTCTGTTTGTCAGTGTTCTCCCGGGTGATGTTCTGTTTGTCAGCGTTCTGGCTAGTGGTGTTCTGTTTGTCAGTGTTCTCCCGGGTGATGTTCTGTTTGTCAGTGTTCTCCCGGGCGGTGTTCTGTTTGTCAGTGTTCTCCCGGGCAGTGTTCTGTTTGTCAGTGTTCTCCCGTGTGATGTTCTGTTTGTCAGCGTTCTGGCTGGTGGTGTTCTGTTTGTCAGTGTTCTGGCTGGTGGTGTTCTGTTTGTCAGCGTTCTGGCTGGTGGTGTTCTGTTTGTCAGCGTTCTGGCTGGTGGTGTTCTGTTTGTCAGTGTTCTCCCGGTTTATGTTCTGTTTGTCAGCGTTCTGGTTGGTGATGTTTCTGTTTGTCAGTGTTCTGGCTGGTGTTGTTCTGCTTGTCAGCGTTCTGGCTGGTGTTGTTCTGTTTGTCAGTGTTCTCCCGGGTGATGTTCTGTTTGTCAGCGTTCTGGCTAGTGGTGTTCTGTTTGTCAGTGTTCTCCCGGGTGGTGTTCTGTTTGTCAGTGTTCTCCCGGATGGTGTTCTGTTTGTCAGTGTTCTCCCGGGTGATGTTCTGTTTGTCAGTGTTCTCCCGGGCGGTGTTCTGTTTGTCAGTGTTCTCCCGGGCGGTGTTCTCTTTGTCAGCGTTCTGGCTGGTGTTGTTCTGTTTGTCAGCGTTCTGGCTGGTGGTGTTCTGTTTGTCAGCGTTCTGGCTGGTGGTGTTCTGTTTGTCAGTGTTCTCCCGGTTTATGTTCTGTTTGTCAGCGTTCTGGTTGGTGGTGTTTCTGTTTGTCAGCGTTCTGGCTGGTGTTGTTCTGCTTGTCAGCGTTCTGGCTGGTGTTGTTCTGTTTGTCAGTGTTCTCCCGGGTGATGTTCTGTTTGTCAGCGTTCTGGCTAGTGGTGTTCTGTTTGTCAGTGTTCTCCCGGGTGATGTTCTGTTTGTCAGTGTTCTCCCGGATGGTGTTCTGTTTGTCAGTGTTCTCCCGGGTGATGTTCTGTTTGTCAGTGTTCTCGCGGGCGGTGTTCTGTTTGTCAGTGTTCTCCCGGGCGGTGTTCTCTTTGTCAGCGTTCTGGCTGGTGTTGTTCTGTTTGTCAGCGTTCTGGCTGGTGTTGTTCTGTTTGTCAGCGTTCTGGCTGGTGGTGTTCTGTTTGTTAGCGTTCTGGCTGGTGGTGTTCTGCTTGTCAGCGTTCTGGCTGATGTTGTTCTGTTTGTCAGCGTTCTGGCTGGTGATGTTCTGTTTGTCAGCGTTCTGGCTGGTGTTGTTCTGTTTGTCAGTGTTCTCCCGGGTGATGTTCTGTTTGTCAGCGTTCTGGCTAGTGGTGTTCTGTTTGTCAGTGTTCTCCCGGGTGATGTTCTGTTTGTCAGTGTTCTCCCGGGTGATGTTCTGTTTGTCAGTGTTCTCCCGGGCGGTGTTCTGTTTGTCAGTGTTCTCCCGGGCGGTGTTCTCTTTGTCAGCGTTCTGGCTGGTGTTGTTCTGTTTGTCAGCGTTCTGGCTGGTGTTGTTCTGTTTGTCAGCGTTCTGGCTGGCGGTGTTCTGTTTGTCAACATTCTGGCTGGTGTTGTTCTGCTTGTCAGCGTTCTCCCGTGTGATGTTTTGTTTGTCAGTGTTCTGGCTGGTGATGTTCTGTTTGTCAGCGTTCTGGCTGGTGTTGTTCTGTTTGTCAGTGTTCTCCCGGGCGGAGTTTTGTTTGCCAGTGTTCTCCCGGGTGGTGTTCTGTTTGTCAGCGTTCTGGCTGGTGTTGTTCTGTTTGTCAGCGTTCTGGCTGGTGTTGTTCTGTTTGTCAACATTCTGGCTGGTGTTGTTCTGTTTGTCAGCGTTCTCCCGTGTGTTGTTCTGTTTGTCAGTGTTCTGGCTGGTGTTGTTCTGTTTGTCAACATTCTGGCTGGTGATGTTCTGTTTGTCAGCGTTCTGGCTGGTGTTGTTCTGTTTGTCAGCGTTCTGGCTGGTGTTGTTCTGTTTGTCAACATTCTGGCTGGTGTTGTTCTGTTTGTCAGTGTTCTGGCTGGTGTTGTTCTGTTTGTCAGCGTTCTGGCTGGTGTTGTTCTGTTTGTCAGCGTTCTCCCGTGTGTTGTTCTGTTTGTCAGCGTTCTGGCTGGTGGTGTTCTGTTTTCTCAGCGTTCTGGCTGGTGTTGTTCTGTTTGTCAGCGTTCTGGCTGGTGTTGTTCTGTTTGTCAGCGTTCTGGCTGGTGATGTTCTGTTTGTCAGCGTTCTGGCTGGTGTTGTTCTGTTTGTCAGTGTTCTCCCTGGTGATGTTCTGTTTGTCAGCCTTATGGTTAGTGATGTTCTGTTTTTCAGTGTTCTCCCGGGCGGTGTTCTGTTTGTCAGCGTTCTGGCTGGTGGTGTTCTGTTTGTCAGCGTTCTGGCTGGTGGTGTTCTGTTTGTCAGTGTTCTCCCGGGTGATGTTCTGTTTGTCAACGTTCTGGCTGGCGGTATTTTGTTTGTCAGTGTTCTGGCTGATGTTTCTCTGTTTGTCAACGTTCTGGCTGGCGGTGTTCTATTTGTCAACGTTCTGGCTGGTGTTGTTCTGTTTGTAAACGTTCTGCCTGGCGATGTTCTATTTGTCAACGTTCTGCCTGGCGGTGTTCTATTTGTCAACGTTCTGGCTGGTGGTTTTCTGTTTGTCAGTGTTCTGCCTGGGGGTGTTTTGTTTGTCAGCGTTCTGGCTGGTGTTGTTCTGTTTGTCAGCGTTCTGGCTGGTGTTGTTCTGTTTGTCAACATTCTGGCTGGTGATGTTCTGTTTGTCAGCGTTCTGGCTGGTGTTGTTCTGTTTGTCAGCGTTCTGGCTGGTGTTGTTCTGTTTGTCAACATTCTGGCTGGTGATGTTCTGTTTGTCAGCGTTCTGGCTGGTGTTGTTCTGTTTGTCAACATTCTGGCTGGTGGTTTTCTGTTTGTCAGTGTTCTGCCTGGGGGTGTTTTGTTTGTCAGCGTTCTGGCTGGTGTTGTTCTGTTTGTCAGCGTTCTGGCTGGTGTTGTTCTGTTTGTCAACATTCTGGCTGGTGATGTTCTGTTTGTAAACGTTCTCGGGCAATGTTGTGTTTCTCAGTAATCTGTCGGGCGGTGTTTTGTTTTTAAGCAGTAGGACTCTTGAAAATCCGGATAGAGAATATGTCTTCAGCAACCCATGCTTACCGTAAAAGGAGACCATGCTTGTCGTAAGAGGCGACTAACGGAATCGGGTGGTCAGGCTCGCCGACTTGGTTGGTGCATGTCATCTTATCCCAATTGCGTAGATCGATGCTCATGATTTCAATCACTGGATTGTCTGGTCCAGATTCGATTACTTACAGACCGCCGTCATATAGCTTAAATACTGAATGCCGCGTTAAACAACAAACAAACAAGCAAACAATCGTCTATACATTCCACCGACAAGAATAATAATGTATCCCTTTGATGTGAGACCAAATATTGTACTCGGATTAACACGGAGTGATTGAATGATGAATATATGTTGATTTCACACTGGTGGCTATTTCATTTACTTAAAACTATGTATCCCCTCTTAGTAATGATCAAAATGGATATTAAACTAATTAAATTTGGAAAACCAAACACATCGTCAATTAAACAACGTGTTGCCGTTTACTGACATTCATGATGTTCACGACTCGACATTGCAGGTTACGGAAAGGTGTGACGAACAGTGTACCTTCATGCCCCTCCGTCATCTCCGTCCGCACAGCGTCACTGATGAACCTTACAACTTCAGACAGACAGACAGACAGACACAGACACAGACACAGACAGACAGACACAGACACAGACAGACAGACAAACAGACTTTCGCCTTCGGCAAGTGACTTTGTTCAAAATGTGTCTGTTCATCCAGCAGTGCATGGGTACCTGGTAGGGTGGCATGGTAATGTGGCATTAATTAATTAATTAATTAATTTATTCATTCATTCATTCATTCATTCATTCATTCATTCATTCATTCATTCATTCATTCATTCATTCATTCATTCAGACAGACAGACAGACAGACAGACAGACAGACAGACAGACGGTACAAATGAGGTGACATAATAATTTGCCACGTGGAATAGTTGCAGGAAATAGTAAACTAGGCTCTGTATAAAAGAAACACAAGATTTAGAAAAAAATGCTTATGTCAACTTCTTTATTGTGAGGTACACAACGTTTCAGAGTATATCCTTACTCGTTCATCAGGTGAATGTCCTAAGTCTTCACCTGATGAAGGAGTAAGTATATACATGTACTCCGAAACGTTGTGTTGCTCATAATAAAGAAGTTGACACCAATAAATTCTCTTCCTTTGAGTGAATATAGTTAACATCCTTCGAATTTAGAACATTGATCAACTTATGCCCTTGAGCAGCACGAACCAGGACATTTGTCCATTGCACTGTACAAAGCAACACATTTCATGATGTTCACGACACATGGGGCAATAACTCCATATGTGAGACTAACGCCTGTTGCTTCTCTCTGTCTCTGTCAGACACAAGCCTGACACATGTCGGTCTGACGCATTCTGTCATGACTACACGCAACTTGCAGGTAGATGACATGGCTATATCCAATCTTCATTACTTCTATGTGTCTAAAAGAGGCATTTTAAATAGAATAACCTGTTCATGTATTTGGAAATAGCATTAGAAATGGCACTTGAGTGATTTATGAAATTTATGAAGTTGAGTGAATGAAATCCCCTCTTAATTATTCCAAGAAATGACAAGAAAGTGTGGTTTTGTCTGTCCCCTGCTTGATTTATGATGTTACCCGAACGACTTGTGTGATGTTACCCGAACGACTTGGGCTCGTATATCATTTTTATTGTTTTACGCCGCTTTTGTCAATATTCAGACAACATCTCGGCGGGGACACCGAAAATGAGCCTCGTACAATGTTTCCATGTTGGAATCCAAGTCGGGTTTCGGCGTGACGAGCGGACGCTTTAACCATTAGGCTACCCCACCGCCAGAGACTTGATAAGTTTACATTTAACATAAACATATCACGCTGTTCAACCGCATTTGTGAAGATGTCAAGCCCTAATATTGTAATCAACATCATATGTTGTATACAACCTCATAAAGACGCGGGCAACACATTTCTCTGTCCTTAGTCAACCAACCACCCAGTCATACCTCACACTGTCCTTAGTCAACCAACCACCCCAGTCACACCTCACACTGTCCATAGTCAACCAACCACCCCAGTCATACCTCACACTGTCCTTAGTCAACCAACCACCCCAGTCATACCTCACACTGTCCTTAGTCAACCAACCACCCCAGTCATACCTCACACTGTCCTTAGTCAACCGACCACCCCAGTCATACCTCACCCTCTCCATAGTCAACCAACCACCCCAGTCATACCTCACACTGTCCTTAGTCAACCAACCACCCCAGTCATACCTCACACTGTCAGTCAACCATCACTCCAGTCATACCTCACACTGTCCTTAGTCAACCAACCACCCCAGTCATACCTCACACTGTCCTTAGTCAACCAACCACCCCAGTCATACCTCACACTGTCCTTAGTCAACCAACCACCCCAGTCATACCTCACACTGCCCTTAGTCAATCAACCACCCCAGTCATACCTCACACTGTCCTTAGTCAACCAACCACCCCAGTCATACCTCACACTGTCCTTAGTCAATCAACCACCCCAGTCATACCTCACACTGTCCTTAGTCAACCAACCACCCCAGTCATACCTCACACTGTCAGTCAACCATCACTCCAGTCATACCTCACACTGTCCTTAGTCAACCAACCACCCCAGTCATACCTCACACTGTCCTTAGTCAACCAACCACCCCAGTCATACCTCACACTGTCCTTAGTCAACCAACCACCCCAGTCATACCTCACACTGCCCTTAGTCAATCAACCACCCCAGTCATACCTCACACTGTCCTTAGTCAACCAACCACCCCAGTCATACCTCACACTGCCCTTAGTCAATCAACCACCCCAGTCATACCTCACACTGTCCTTAGTCAACCAACCACCCCAGTCATACCTCACACTGTCCTTAGTCAACCAACCACCCCAGTCATACCTCACACTGTCCTTAGTCAACCAACCACCCCAGTCATACCTCACACTGCCCATAGTCAACCAACCACCCCAGTCATACCTCACACTGTCTGATTCAACCAACCACCCCAGTCATACCTCACACTGTCCATAGTCAACCAACCACCCCAGTCATACCTCACACTGTCCTTAGTCAACCAACCACCCCAGTCATACCTCACACTGCCCATAGTCAACCAACCACCCCAGTCATACCTCACACTGTCCTTAGTCAACCAACAACCCCAGTCATACCTCACACTGTCCTTAGTCAACCAACCACCCCAGTCATACCTCACACTGTCCATAGTCAACCAACCACCCCAGTCATACCTCACACTGTCCTTAGTCAACCAACCACCCCAGTCATACCTCACACTGTCCTTAGTCAACCAACAACCCCAGTCATACCTCACACTGTCCATAGTCAACCAACCACCCCAGTCATACCTCACACTGTCCATAGTCAACCAACCACCCCAGTCATACCTCACACTGTCCTTAGTCAACCAACCACCCCAGTCATACCTCACACTGTCCTTAGTCAACCAACCACCCCAGTCATACCTCACACTGCCCATAGTCAACCAACCACCCCAGTCATACCTCACACTGTCCTTAGTCAACCAACAACCCCAGTCATACCTCACACTGTCCTTAGTCAACCAACCACCCCAGTCATACCTCACACTGTCCATAGTCAACCAACCACCCCAGTCATACCTCACACTGTCCTTAGTCAACCAACCACCCCAGTCATACCTCACACTGTCCTTAGTCAACCAACCACCCCAGTCATACCTCACACTGCCCATAGTCAACCAACCACCCAGTCATACCTCACACTGCCCATGGTCAACCAACCACCCCAGTCATACCTCACACTGCCCATAGTCAACCAACCATCCCAGTCATACCTCACACTGTCCTTAGTCAACCAACCACCCCAGTCATACCTCACACTGTCCTTAGTCAACCAACCATCCCAGTCATACCTCAAACTGTCTTTTCTCAACCAACCACCCCAGTCATACTTAACACTGCCCATAGTCAACCAACCAGCCCAGTCATACCTCACACTGTCCTTAGTCAACCAACCACCCCAGTCATACCTCACACTGCCCATAGTCAACCAACCAGCCCAGTCATACCTCACACTGTCCTTAGTCAACCAACCACCCCAGTCATACCTCACACTGCCCATAGTCAACCAACCAGCCCAGTCATACCTCACACTGTCCTTAGTCAACCAACCACCCCAGTCATACCTCACACTGCCCATAGTCAACCAACCATCCCAGTCATACCTCAAACTGCCCATAGTCAACCAACCACCCCAGTCATACCTCACACTGTCCATAGTCAACCAACCAGCCCAGTCATACCTCACCCTCTCCATAGTCAACCAACCACCCCAGTCATACCTCACACTGTCTTTTCTCAACCAACAACCCAGTCATACCTAACACTGTCCTTAGTCAACCAACCACCCCAGTCATACCTCACACTGTCCTTAGTCAACCAACCACCCCAGTCATACCTCACACTGTCCTTAGTCAACCAACCACCCCAGTCATACCTCACACTGTCTTTTCTCAACCAACCAACCCAGTCATACCTAACACTGTCCTTAGTCAACCAACCACCCCAGTCATACCTCACACTGTCCTTAGTCAACCAACAACCCCTGTCATACCCAACACTGTCAGTCAACCAACCTCCCCAGTCATACCTCACACTGTCCTTAGTCAACCAACCACCCCAGTCATACCTCACACTGTCCTTAGTCAACTAACCACCCCAGTCATACCTCACACTGTCGATAGTCAACTAACCACCCCAGTCATACCTCACACTGTCCATAGTCAACCAATCAATCCAGTCATACCTCACACTGTCCACAGTCAACCAACAACCCACTGTCCTTAGTCAACCAACCACCCCAGTCATACCTCACACAGTCCATAGTCAACCAATCAATCCACTCATACCTCACACTGTCCACAGTCAACCAACCACCCCAGTCATACCTCACACTGTCCACAGTCAACCAACCACCCCAGTCATACCTCACACTGTCAACAGTCAACCAACCACCCCAGTCATACCTCACACAGTCCACAGTCAACCAACCACCCCAGTCATACCTCACACTGTCCATAGTCAACCAATCAATCCAGTCATACCTCACACTGTCAACAGTCAACCAACCACCCCAGTCATACCTCACACTGTCAACAGTCAACCAACCACCCCAGTCATACCTCACACTGTCCACAGTCAACCAACCACCCCAGTCATACCTCACACTGTCCTTAGTCAACCAACCACCCAAGTCATACCTCACACTGTCCACAGTCAACCAACCACCCAAGTCATACCTCACACTGTCCATAGTCAAACAACCACCCCAGTCATACCTCACACTGTCTTTACTCAACCAACCGCCCCAATCGTACCTGACACTGTCCATAGTCAAACAACCACCCCAGTCATACCTCACACTGTCTTTACTCAACCAACCTCCCCAATCGTACCTGACACTGTCCATAGTCAACCAACCACCCCAGTCACATCTCACACTGTCCATAGTCAACCAATATGTTGACATA